AAAAAAAAAAAAAGTAAAACCAGTAAGTGTTATGTTCTTATTTCTGTTTTATTTGGCATAGAAAAAGCTGCACGCGTATCATGGTAAGAATGCTTTGCTTTGGTAAAGGCGAACATTTTATTTTATCTTATTGTTTTTGCAGTACTAGAGTTTGAACTCATAAAGGTGAACGATTTATTTATTTATTTATTTATTTATTTATTTATTTTGCTGTACCAAGGATTGAACTCAGGATCCTGCGCTTGCCAGGCAAGTGCTTATTCTACTGAGCTATCTCCTCGGGCCAAGGTGAACATTTTAAATGAACAGATTTTCTTTAAAAATGTAACATAAACCTAGAAAACTATGACAGGTAAATGCAGAGGAGCAAAAATTGAGTATGAAATAGAAAAAGAACATACAATTTTTCCTGGAAATACTTGATTTAACCTTGTATTTATGGTATTAATTTTAATTTAACTTTATTTTTGCCCACTAGTTTTTAAAATTTTATTTTAAAAACAATATCAACAGGGCAAACTTTTCTCTCCTCACAAAGGTATTTTTGTTACTTTGAGTGTTTTCTGATTTTGTTTCTGCAAGGAAGTAACAGTTTGTTTTATTTATGTATTTCTTTTTTGTATTTTAGGGAAGGGTCTATAGGATGTTAACGGTCTTACTACTAGATCAGACTTGTAGTGATCCACCTGTTTATAGCTCCCAAGAGCTAGGATTACAGGCGTGCACCACCACGTCCAGTCTTAATTGCCATTTCAGCGTGCCCTGGGGGCGGGGCTGGCATGGCAGGCCCAGGGATCAAAAAGCTCAACAGTTTTTGCTCAGGAAGTTTTTTGGTAATCATTCTAGTAGAAATTATGAAATGTTAGCAGTTGTTGATATGAGTGAGGCAGAAATTGATTTTGTTGAATTCATTACCTCTTGACATTATGTATTAAATACCAGTTATGTTTCATTTAACTATTATTTAAACTAATTTTTAGGGGATGATGGTTATGAACAAATTTCCAGTGATGAAGATGGAATTGCTGACTTGGAACGTGAGACATTTAAGTACCCAAACTTCGACGTGGAATACACTGCTGAAGACCTTGCTTCTGTCCCTCCCATGACGTATGATCCATATGACAGGGAGCTGGTTCCACTCTTATACTTCAGTTGTCCCTACAAGACTACTTTTGAAATTGAAATCAGCAGAATGAAAGACCAAGGTCCAGATAAAGAAAATTCAGGAGCTATTGAAGCCTCGGTGAAGTTAACAGAGCTATTAGATTTGTATCAGGAAGATAGAGGTGCAAAATGGGTGACGGCTTTAGAAGAAATCCCAAGTTTAATAATAAAAGGACTAAGCTATTTGCAGTTGACAAACACAAAGCAAGATGCCCTTGGCCAATTGGTGGACTGGACAATGCAGGCTTTAAATTTACAAGTAGCCTTTCGCCAGCCCATTGCTTTAAATGTCCGACAGCTCAAAGCTGGGACCAAGTTAGTGTCCTCCCTAGCGGAGTGTGGCTCTCATGGAGTGATCGGACTATTGCAGGCAGGAGTGATCAGTGTGTTGTTTGAGCTCCTGTTTGCTGATCATGTCTCATCTTCCCTTAAGTTAAATGCTTTTAAAGCTTTGGACAGTGTTATTAATATGACAGAAGGAATGGAAGCTTTTTTAAGAAGTAGGCAGAGTGAAAAAAGTGGCTATCAAAGACTTCTGGAGCTCATACTTTTAGATCAGACTGTGAGGGTTGTCACTGCTGGTTCAGCTATTCTTCAGAAATGCCATTTCTATGAAATCTTGTCAGAGATTAAAAGACTGGGTGATCATTTAGCAGAGAAGACTTCATCTGTACCTAACCACAGTGAACCTGATCAGGACTCAGATGCTGGACTTGAGAGAACGAACCCAGAATATGAAAATGAGGTAGAAGCTTCTATGGACATGGATCTTTTGGAATCCTCAAATATAAGTGAAGGGGAAATAGAGAGGCTTATTAACCTTCTAGAAGAAGTTTTTCATTTAATGGAAACTGCCCCTCACACAATGATCCAACCTCCTGTTAAGTCATTCCCAACAATGGCGCGAATCACTGGACCTCCAGAGAGGGATGACCCATACCCTGTTCTCTTTAGGTAAGACACCTGTTTAAGGGCCATGCACTTCCCAAATCATTGGGGAAACCTTCATGTGGTGATTGTGTTTTTCATTGGTTTGTAGGTAGGCATAGTTAATGTAAGCATACTTGATCCTTCAAAATAAATACTCAATAGTGAAACCAAGACGTGTTACTGTGAGACTGTCTTGTGTTAGGATTTGAGGCAGATGTAGGATAGTAAAGATGAGAGTAAGTGATAGTAGCAACGCTTTCGTAAGCGTGTCTGACAATAAGTGAGAAACTGCTTCATTGCTTCTGGGAAGATGCTACACAGGGGTGGTATAGAAAGGATTTATGTCACTTGGATACACTATAAGATAAAAGTTTATTTTACAGTCCCATTTAAAGGTATGTTTAAGATTCCATTATTTTGGGGCCAGGAAGATGGCTCAGTGGAATAAGCGCTTCCCTGGCAAGCGCAAGGGTCTGAGTTCAATCCCTGGTTCTGCCACACACACACACAAAAGATTCCATTATTTCTTGTTTCTTATCCAGCTCTCTGCTTAGCTCTTGGTAGAGTTTTACCATTGGCCATTATTGGGCATGGCATCCACAGTAGGTTTTTTGTTTTAATTTAAGGGACTTTGTTTTTGGCCTTTTGGCATATTGTTTCTAGATAACTTTCTAATATCAGAGTGGAAGCATGGGATTTTTACTGTTTCTTGTTTCTGTGGTTATTTTTGTTTTCAATTCGGGTAAAGTGCATTATTAGAGAACAGGATACTTGGCCGCTCAGATCTTTACCTGGCCATTTTTTGTTTTACCTGAAGATGTTTTAGTTTGAGTTTCCCCATAATGTGAGTCAGTCTTTTTTTTTTTTTTTTTTT